CCTGCCTCTTGCCGCTCGGTGACTGCAGCTGGAGCCAGTGAGACCGGAGCAGCGCCTGCGGGGTTTGCCTGGCATTTCCAGGCGGCTCCTGCTTTGGGAGAGTCAGAGGATGGTGAGAGGGATGGAGATCTCCGAAGGGATCCGCATCCCCTGGCTCAGTCTGCGTCAAGCCCGTGGGACACGCGGGGAATTTCATGTTCCCCCACAGCCCCCCGAGACCTGACCGTTTCTCCGACCCCTTTGCCCGGAGCTCAGTAACGACGTTAGCGCTGATCTTCCCCCGACAGCAGCGTGGCACTCTGCAAACATATCGCTGCATTAAAAACTGATAAATTAAATTAGCGGATCCCCATGCATCCATCTGCTGGATGGATTTTCCGATTAAGGGACATGTTGGGAGCCCTTTGCCACGCACCATTATCTCCACATGCTGAGGAGCAGGGAGATGCTGCTTCAATATTTATTGCACTTGTCACTTTTCCTATTACTGTCCCTAGAAGCAAAAGGCTGAAGAAGCTTCCTGGGGTTGCACCGTGCCGTTTGGTTTGGTGTTGGTTTTGGTGCTGGGTGGGTCCCTCGGCCCACGCGGCGGCAGGTCGTGGCTGACCCCCCGCTCCCATCTGCCTTCCAGATCTGGGACACGGCCGGGCAGGAGCGTTCCGCAGCGTCACCCACGCCTACTACCGGGACGCCCACGGTAAGCACGGCCACCACTGCTTCCCAGGGGGGAGCCCCCTCCCGCCGGCTTTTCGGGGCCCCAAGCCGCGACTCCAGGCCAGGTGAATCAGGAATCACCGGAGTGGTTTCCCCGTGGGAAGCAGCCGCCAAGGATGGAGGAGCCTCTGTGTGTCGAAGTGCAAACGCCAGGTGTCTTAAGGCATTGCCCGTGGTGGATTTAAGCATGTTGCTTTATATTTTTCAGCAGGGACCTCAGCGGTGCGTTAACGCCGCGTCCCCAGGCGTGACCCGCAGCGGGACGTGCGCTGGCTCGGGGAACGGTGCAGAGCAAGCTCTGAGACACTGGCTCTGCTCGGCCGTGCTCCTGCCTGGCACCACGGCACCAGCACTAATGCACCCTCCCTCTCTCCGCAGCCCTGCTCCTGCTCTACGATGTCACCAACAAAGCGTCGTTTGACAACATCCAGGTACGGCAGCACCCCCTGGCCCCTCCTGCCCGTCCCTCCTGTGCGATGGGCTGGGTGGCAGTTGCGGGTCGGCCCCGGGGAGGGGGTACGTGCCGCAGGAGATGCGTGTTGGAGGTGTGAACCGTGATCGTTTCCAGAAGGGCTGTGGCTAATGCCGAGCGCCCATCTGCCTACGAGGACACCAGAGGGCAGGCAGAGAAGGCTTTCCTTTTCATGGCAAAGAAAAGGGGTGATGGATTCACTTCACCGGCAAATTAATGCTGTGTGTAATTACAGCACCGGCTGGAGAACTTGCTCCTGTAAATGAGCGCAGGCAGCTTTACTGAGCGAGGTGCTCCCTCGTCCTCCTCTACACCTTCTGGTCCCCATGGGTCGGGCTTGGGGGGCGCGTTGCCCCCACCCACCTTAGTGCCAAACCTGGGCAGGGCTGCACACTCCTCGCCCCCGGCAGACCTGCCCTTCCTGCCGGCTTTTGTGGGGATCCCTTGTGCTGCCCGAGTCTGCCCCTTCCCTGCAGACTCAGCCCCCCCTGGCTGACCCTGAACCCCCACGCGGGTGCTTCAGGGGTGCTGGGGAGCAGTGTCAGAGCAGAAGGCTCCGTTAAATCTGCCAGAGGGGGGGGAGAGCAAATGCTGCCCGTGGGCACGTCGCTGTGTGGGGGGGCAGGAGGACCCGGTGTCGGTGTCCCCTCCTCTCACCCCACCAGACCCGTGCGGCTGCTGGGGGCCACCTACGCCAGTGCCGGCAGAGCATACCGCGATCCGGGGGGGCAATTAGCCCTGAATGAATAGGATGTAATTGCTCATGTGCCGGACGCAGAGTACACCATGTGCGTCTGTGGCGAGCAGGCTCTGTGTCTGCAAAAACACCCTGTTCAATAGCACGGGAGGTGCCGTGCCGGCATTAACACCCCGGGGCGGGGAGCGGTGATCTGCTGTGCCAGCTCCTGGGGGGTCCTGCACCGCCCTGACCCCCTGGCCTGGGGTGCCTGGAGCTGTCCCTGCTCTGGAGCATCTGTCGGCAGCCCCACGCCTGCCACCCACCTGCGCCCACAGCCCTGCGGCGGGGAACAGGGCACGTCCTGCCACCCCGCTCCCACGTCCCCGGCACTGGGAATGCTTCCTCCAAGCTTGGACTGGCCAGCGGTGGCATTTTCCAGCCTGACGAGCTGGATGGCTCGAGGAGAGTGTCTGCTGCCGGGCGTAATGAAGAGTGAGTGCTGGTCGTTAACCAGGCTGCGGGTCTGCACTGAGGTGGCGATCCTGCAACAAGACGGAAAATCACTTGGAGGTTTCACGCTGCTGGGTAACGCGGCCCCATCTGCACCATCGGCTCTCCCAGCCCTGCAGGGACGTGGGAGGGACGGCTGCGGGAAGGATGGCTGTGGGGCGCGGAGGGACGGCCGTGGGGCACGTGTGACCCTGGCGGGGAGGAACGAGCACCCAGGGCGAGTGCGAGGTGCTGGAAAAAGGGACGGAGGGGGAGCGGTGCCAGAAGGGAGCGGAGGGGGGTTGTCAGGAGTGACCGAGTGTCCGTTGGACCAACCCACCCGTGGAGCTGAGCACCCCGAGACCAGCCGGGGTGTGATGGAGTCCCGGGGCTGCGTCCGTGTGTGTTGGGCTCCCACGTATTGTCAGTGACAGGCTCTAAACCAGAATCATCCGTCGCTTCCCTGGCTGGCCGGGTGTTGATTCCAGATGCTGCTGTGGAGGAGCGGTGGTGGAGCGGGGATCACCCGGCACTTGCCATAAGCGCAGCGTCGGGGCACGGGCTGCAGCAGCACTGCCTGCCCGGGAAGCAGCAAGCGGCTGCTCGTGCTG